TCTCTACTCTTTCCCACTAATTTGCTAACATTGCTAAAAAGGTGTTCATTCCCTATCATTCATTGGGAATGGCTCCCATTCTGGTACTTTTTAATTGTGAGAGATGAACCTACGTGTCCTGTTCTTACAAATAAGCAGTTACATCACTTAATATTAGATGATGATTGCTCAGAGAGAGGTTGGCAAACTCAGAGATGCCACTTCAGGACACCAGTCACCTAAATTAACTCTGCCATAAATATACGCCATAAAGAACTAAAGCTATATAAAGAGTCAATGAATAATGAGCAAAACAATAAAAATAGCACTTCTGATTGTGAGCTGTTTTATAACTTCCAGTTATGTGCCAAAAAGGCTGATCCATCAAAGTGGACCCTGAATCAAAAAGTTTATTCCAAGTACTGAACAACTAGTCATGTACAACTTGTTGCACACACAAGTCTGAACACTTGACAGAGACAGCGATTTGATCACTGGATACACATTCAGCATCTTCCCATTTGTAGTCAAAGTCTCAGAAGCCTTCTAGCCCAGGAGTTGAAGAGAAAATACTGACTAGGAAGGACTTCCAAAACAGGGTGCTCTGTCACAGTCAAGACAGTTCACTAGTGCAGGACTTTGTCCAGATTGGTTTATGTCTGCGCAAACACGTTGTGGATACAAAGGAGGTGATCAGTGTCCACAGCTCTGGAGGGTCTGCAGAGTTAACTCCTGTCTGTACCATTCAAATATTACAAAGCAGATTACTAAGTAGATACATCTTTTGAAAGGCACAATAATGCTAATTGCTTGTAATTAATAATTTCAGGAAATGGATATTCCTACAATTGTATTTGTTGTAACCTGTCTTTTTATACGTATTGACTTCTGCTCCCATAAGTCTAGGCAACAGGAGATGAACCAGAAAGATAAATTTAACAAATTTTTCTTTCAAGGAAATGCAGCTCTTCATAGTCCGTTCCACACATAGAAGGAAAAAAATCTGATGTTTTTAGTAAAATTTAAAACTGAAGGGGCATGAGTAAATCAGTGATTTATTGCCATGTAAGTTTTTTACATGGCGTTTATTAAAGGAGAATTTATTCCTAACTTTTCAAATTATATATAGGAGATCGCTGAAAGTTTTTCATTTTGAGTTCTGGAAGCACTACTCATTGAGGAGCCAAAAAAGAAGGAATGTGACCCAGTTGCTAAGTAACAAATTTCAGTTACTTCCAGATTCTGCAGAGAAAGACTTGTACTCAGAAGTCAAGAGCAGGGCAGAAAGAGAATGATCAGATTAAAACGTGACTAACTTTTAGCACTAAAGAGCTTGTATCCTTTTGCAGCAATCTGGAAAGCCTTTTACATAAAAAGTCTGTGATAAATTGATTCAGTCGTATGTATCCCATCAGGAAGCATTTTACATTTAGCACTTTGAAAGAGGAACAAGTAATCTAGAGAAGCCTTTAGTCTGACTTGTGTTCACCATTCCTTATTTTTGTATCTACCTATGAAGATACTCCAAACAAAACTATTCTGGTTTTATTTCTTGGCAGGAACAGTGTCCCATAATATTTAATGTGTATGTGGCTTTCAACTACCTTTAGTATTTAAAACTGGTTTGATTCTTGCTGTTAAGCCAGATTTCTTATATTTAGTTTTACTTTTGAGTTTTCTAATTTACCTTCAGCAAAGGAGAGTTTGTAGAAATATTTTGTTCCTGTTAGACTGTTAAATACTGGCTTTTTTATTTTCACTTCAGAGTTCAAAATTTAGTTCAGGAGTTAATTTCCTGGTCAAAATGTTTTCTTACCTTAAAAATATAGTCATTTTCTTTAAGTTTTTCAATCAATAACAATTTCCTGAAGAAACTGTCATTCTGAAAGATCAATAGAAGTTGGAGAATATTATGAAATGTACTGTCATCATTTGGTATAGTAGAAGTAAATAAAGTCAGAGACTTACTGTCTCTACTTTGAAAATAAATGGCTTGGGTTTTAGGTGGCTTTTATATAGCATGGGATTTCTCTGTCCTATGGCAATTTTTTTGTTCCATCACCAATTCTTAATTGGATTTGCAAAACTGAGTATTAAATTTTATTTCATTCAGAATCAGATTTTCATAAAAATATAGTTGTTGAAAGTAAAAATACAGAAAAGAAGCATGGCAAGGAATATGGACCACACATCAAAGTAATGACAAATGGATTGATGAGTGTTCACAAGTAAACATAAACTAATGAAATTGCCTCTTTTTACTTAACTTTGCATGCACTGTCTTACTAACAGGAAATAACCCTAACTGGAGGTTATCGACATAGGTCATATTCCCAAGCTCCACAACAAGAACATGTTGTTACAGTTTGGCATCCAAATTGAATAAATCTTTCTGTTTCATTTCCTTCTTCTATTACAGCTTTGTATCACATTTTATAAACCAGGGTAAATGTTGATATTGGCAATGTACAATGTTGGTGTCACAGCACAGAATTTGTTCTTTGTAAATATTTTTATAAAATATAGCCTATCCTTATCATTGTCGTGTTTCTATTATGGCAATTGGTGTTGAATTTTGTGGGTTCAGGAGAACTGGCAGAGAATTGAAAGCATAATGGCTCCTCCAACCTGTGACATGCAAGAAGAACAATGTGGCTGATGCTGTACTTGGTGGCTTTTGACTCCTCAGTCTGGCTGATTTCAGTTTATAGCTGGTTTGACAGAGGTTTTTGTACTTCACTGGGCAACGTGGCCTAAAAGTTCCCTATGTAAAAATACTGACTAGAAAATGGCTGTATAAAAATGATTGCCAGGAAGTGATCGGTTAGAAATAGTTATCCTTAAGAATACCCTTGTTATTTGTTTCAGGAAATCGAAAGGTTGGAAAGTAAATTAAATCAGAGCCCAGAAAGGTGGCAGCTTTTGTGGGAAAGGGTCAAAATGAATCTAAAGGATGACACCAGACAAGACAACGTAAGTAGTGAAAGAGTTCATCCAATAGAATAATTCCATTTTTGCTATATAGGCTACCTGGGCCACTGACAAAATCACTATATTTCTTGGAGTAAAATACTGTGTTTGAAAAATTGAATATGTTGTTCTAACCCATCATACTGGCTCTGTATTTCTGCATGTAGAAAAATACATTTATACTTGTACTATTTATCCAGTAGCTTTTCCAGAGTAGATTAAGGCATACAGACAAAATGAGCATTAGCATTTTACAAATATATGACTTTATATATTTAAAAGATTCTTGAAGTACAAAAAAACTCAGTTCCTGAAAGTAGCCAAAAGGGCATCACAGAGTTTCAGAGATAAGTAAAGATATTTCCATGTCTAAATGGAATTTTGAAATTGTAGGTTCTAGTAAAGTTAGGAAGTGTTCATGCTTGTGTTTCCAATTCTTGACTGCAGTGAAAAGAATAGCTGACAGTATAGGTATTTTCCAAGTCAAAGGCTTGCTCTTTGCTATCTACATGCACTAGGAAGAATGTCAGATACTGCTTTTTGTGAGCTTTCCCTATAAACTTGGCACAGTGAATTACCAGCTCAGGACTGTACCATAACTCTTCAGCTTCATGTGCTTGTTCAAATTTGCCCACCTCCATGCAATGGTTAGTCTGCAGAGCACTACTTTGTTATTTGTCCTTTGCTCTCAGGAAAGCAATATGCTTTATGTCTGTCAGAGTCACTCAAGTTCACTTTATACCCTAGACAAATTCAAGATGAAAAAAGTTTTATCCTAGCAAGGCAGAGGATTTTTTTTTTAATTGAATTGGAAGCAGAAAAGAAAATGCAAGTATAAATATACTTGATATCAGTCTCCTGTCCTAGCTGTTACTTAAGGATTCTCAGATAGATGCAATAGCTAAGGGTCAACCCCAAAGAATTCTATCTCTAGGATGCTGTCATTTAGATTAAGATCAAATTCGGGATCCCTCTTGTTCCAGGTTATTAAGAATCTACTAAAATAATTTGGGTCTGTAAAGTAGCTCTTGGAAACTGCACTCTTTTTCATTCCCTCCGTTCTTTCCCTTCCCTCCCTTCCCTATGAAATTAGGGAAATTTATTGTATCTAAATGTCTGGCTAGTTCTAGATGCTTCTGAGAAAACAAGGGAAACATTCAAGATTATGTCACTGGAATATACAAGGCTTTTCTGAAGTACTGATTTCTCACACCATGTGAACCCTTCTGCTTAAGAAATGCGTTGAATTGCCATCCCTCTGACTTCTTTTCTGAGCCAGCACTGACTTGTATTACTGAGATTTTTTTTGGCCTTATAATGAAAATGAGCAAATAAAATAAAAATTAGGTTTTTGGCCTCATAATAATTCACAATTTATGTGTTGTGCCGTGTATTATCAGTATAAATTTGAGGCAGTCTCAGAATGCAAGAGACATTGAGTTACCTTTTTTCTTTTATTTTCGTCTTTTTTAGCTCCGGAGACATCCTTCTGGCTCCTCAGGGATTATGTCAACTAATCTACATTCCTATCAAAAGAAGTCTTTGTTGGAAATACCTGACAGTGGGCTGGGTGAGGAACAGCGTGCAAGCATCTCTCCCTCTAATGGAGTAGATAGAAGAACTACTACGCTATACAATCATTTCACATCAAAGAATGATGAAAATAGGTAAACTGAATAATCATAGAGTATTTATAAACTTTGTATTAGATTGATATAAGTCTCTGCCTTAGGGAAAAAAATGCAATTTTCATATGCACCGAATAATTGTGACTACTTATTCCTTCTTTGTGGTTTTGATTACATTTAGTTATCTTGATGGGTGGGCCTCTATCTCCTAGCAGTATCTTTCAATCTTCCCCTTTGTATGCACAAGCAAATTGTAGCTGCACGTTTAATGCATCCAAAGTTGAGTGTTTATCAGTGTATCACAGTTACCAATAACTAAACTATTGGTTTAAAACAGATTTGTTTTACTGCCATAAAAGAAAGGTTTGAATATATATGTGTAAAAGAAGTGTTTGAATATGTATGTAGTCATTTTGGGGCTTTTATGTATCACTGGTATTCATATTATGGAATCACATGCCATTTGTATTTTCTGTACCTTTCAGATCTTTCGAAGGTACGCTATACAAAAGAGGAGCTTTATTAAAAGGTTGGAAACCTCGCTGGTTTGTGCTGGATGTGACAAAACACCAGGTAAAACCTTTTCAGATAATGGATTTTTTTTTTTTATTACTAGTTTGCTACTTTTTTATTTCCTGGTTTTGTATAGATTGATTTTACAAATAATACTAATAATGATTATTTTCAGATGGGATATGTGGTTTACATTATTGTAGACCATATATCTATGTTTATCTTGTGTATCTTGTAGCTGATACAGCATTCTGAGTGGACAGATTTTTTTTTGATTTTTTTTTTTTTGAAACAGTGATAACTGTTAAAACAGTGATAACTGTTTAGCATATAATCATAAAAGAGTTCTTGGACTGAAAATCATGCATTATTGTTTGGGCCCAAACATTTTTTCTCTGCTTCATACCTCAAGAGAAAAAAAGCCAGGTAGTGCCTGAGGACATTTTCTGGGCATTGTGGTATACAAGCATCTTTTTAAAGCACTGCTAACTCTAGAATGTCATTAAGCAATTAAGTGGTGAGCATAATTTGCCCTTTAATATGACTTCTTTTGTTTCCAAAAGAACTAAAACCTCTTTCTGAACTAAAGAGTGAAAAACTTAGAAGGTATTTTGTAGAGTGCAGTTGGGATGCTGAGAGCTAATATGGTAGCTGACAGTTTAATTCAGGCGTTCATGTTGAAACTGTAGTAGTTACTGTATGCTCAGTGTGTATTTTATAGCCTCTTTGTTCCTCAAGGATTTTTCTATGAGCATTTTTCTTTGCAAATGAAAGGGCATTATATACTCTGGAAACTCACAATCTGAATTGCTTCAGCAGAAAAATCCATTTATCTCACTTGACTTTTAGTGTTTTCCTGCAACCTGTATTTGAGAAAGCCGACCTGGAATCTCTGTATGAAAGTCTTTTCAAATTTGGAGCACGGGATCACGGATCGCTCTGAAATTACTTTGAATTTTGTAAATGACTTAAAATGCATTAAAATCTCATCTTAAATCTGTATTTCTAAATGTCCTGAAGTGCCAAGTTCCTGATTGAATAATCATTTCAGGTGCCATATATAGGAGTATTTTAGTTTAGTGATAGCAACATAAATTTAGTAGCAAAATTATTCGTAAGTATTCTGACAAATCATTGTAGAGCAAGGAGCACTAAAAACAGAGATCTGTTGGTCTGAACATTTTACCCAATTTATAATGTATACCTGAATTCTGCAGTGGAAATTTGTGGTCTCATGTACTTAAAATAATGTTGGGTCATCAGACAGTAATCTTCATTGAGCCAAATATCCCACACATTATGGATTGTAACCTCTGAGACTCATGTATGCTTTTATTTAAAATATTCATTTATTGTAATCAATACACTTTAAAAATACATAATATAAAGACAGTCATCTTTTAAAATGCTAATTGAGGATTTCTAGATTAGTGTGGTAAAATACCTACACATGTGCTGATTATAATTATTCTTCCTGATATACAGGAGAAGAGGTTCATTTTGAAGAAGTAAAAAATACTTTTACATTTTTTGTATAACAAAATATCCTCCTGAGTATCATAAATGTAGGAGTAATACAGGTCAATCTTCATTGGAATTCTGTTGTTTGACCTTTTGCTTTTTACTATTTTGCATTGGTTTATGGGACTTCTTTTTAAAAAGAAAAAAAAAACAAGTATCAGATTTTCTCTCCTAGAACTTGTTTGCATATTGAAACTCAGTTTACAGAGTGCCTGACATTCATATCAAAGTATCTTTGCAAGGAGAAAAAAAAAAAAAAGCAAGCTTCATTCAACCACTACGTGACTAAGTGCAGTATAGGAAAATGTGAGTTTTCTATGTAGTTTATAATTATCTAAAATGATACTTAAATTTTTGCTGATCATTTTAAATTCTTGAAATATAGAGAATAAGTGTTCTGTTAACTCCTTGGTGAAGTAAAGCTCTTGTGTTAGTTTCACTGTAATGAACAGTGAAGAGGTGGTTTCTGTTAGAAAAACTGATAGGGAATGCTGAATCCTAAAGACCAGGTTCTGCCTTCATCCTTCACACAACCTCTGCCTGGAAGCAATGCATGAGTATTTGAAGCTTCTCTTCTCTGAAACTCTGGTGACAAAATGCTCCTCCCCCAACTCTGTGTCTGTGCAGGAGCAGATGGCGGAGACTTTGCTGTTACCCAGAGATGTCAAATAGAGGACTGGCCAGTTAAGGGCTATCACCAGTCCCACCATTTTGTATATACCAAACCTATGGTTTCTGTCAGTTGTGTCTTAGAAATTTCCCATGTCTGATGTCCTTGGGTCCTAATAATATTTGTGCCTCCCACCCTTACCACTCCATGCCCCCAGGTTGTATCCAGGAAAAGGGAAGAACTGAAAGGTTCATCTAAATAGCACATTTGGATTTTTTTTTTTTTCTCTCCTGGTCTAGCTGCGATACTATGATTCTGGTGAAGATACAAGCTGTAAGGGACACATAGACCTTGCAGAAGTAGAAACTGTGATTCCTGCTTCTCCAACAATTGGAGCCCCAAAACATGCAAGTGAAAAAGCATTTTTTGATGTAAGTATATCTGGTCTTGATCTTTATGTGAAACTTTCTTTTCTTGATGTGTTTAACCTACTACTTTCAGTCGTGCCGGAAGGTTTGAGCTAGGAAGGAGCTGTCAAGCCAATTCAAGACAAAAAGTTTTTACACAGCTAGCTTCTAGCCCTTACTCTCAACAGTAGGAGTTCAAAAAATGTTACATTCAGACCCAATTAGTACCTGGAGTATTACAGTTTACAGTAAAGTTTGCAAGTTTCTTTTTCTATTTTATGTGTTGACTTACCTGTCTTCATGTTCTTATTTTTCCTTTGCAGTTGAAGACAAATAAACGTGTATATAATTTTTGTGCCCAAGATGCACAGAGTGCTCAACAATGGATGGATAGGATCCAGAGTTGCATTTCAGATGCTTAGAAAGGAAAAACATTCCATAATAAAGACACGTTTAAAGCACCTCTTCCTGTAAGAAGCTAAGTTCTGAAATGTTACTGACAGACAACCAGCGTTCCTTACATTTCAGCCATAAAAGTTCATAATACGCTAAAGTTCCTTTTCTGTTTAATAATTATAACCACTGTAACTGCTATTTTTTTTCTGCAGGGAGGAATTTGAAAAATAATAATCCATTTATTCTGAATTTCCACTTTCTTCAGTACAATTCCTAGCTATATAAGTGGGCTGTATTTGCACTATCATCTAATCCTGGTTTTCTCATTTCAGAGCTGTTCTGTTAGGAAACCTGTCCAAAGGAAATTGTAGAAAATTTCCCTCTAACAGGAAGTGTATTTTCACTTTATTTATATTTCTAAGCAGAATGTTCTTATTTCCAAGCTAGTCATGAATAAGAGGGAACATGTCTACAATTCCTAAAAATAAATAAATGAAGCTTTTGAGTCCAGTGAGGTATATATCAGGTTGTCAGTGTTTATAGACAGTTGATATTTTTTAAGACCAAAAAGTGAAATTACCCGATACCTGACTTTCAAGTGTCTTCTCAGTGTGCAAGTCATTCTCTACTCTTGTGCTCTACTGAGTGCTTCTGCAATGTTGTTATGAAATTTCAAATTCTAGGGATTATTTGAATATCATAGCACTTTTATTTTGGATTCTGTTTGCAATTACAATGGGATAAATGAAAGAAAACTGGTCGGCACTATCCAGGAAAAATGGAAAACAACAAACTAGGAATTCAGTAGAAGAAAGACTTCTTATGTGTGAGTTGTATATGTTAATTTATATGCTGTTCTGCTCACTGTAAGATAAAAAATAACAAACATGATAATGCACTAAACAATGAAGCAAGCACTTGCACTGAAATCTTTAAAATGCGGACATTATGCAGGACAGAGGTAAGTTATTTATAGCAGAACAATACTAGCTAGTTAACAACATTTACAGATATTAAATATGTACATAATCAAGTTTGATGTGTCGTGATTTGATATTTTTTAAACATTTTTTGCACATGAATTGGAAGACTGTTTATAGATTTTTACATTTGATAAAATTGTGTTTATTCAGCTTAAAATCCTAGTGAAACATTTTTAATAGCCCCAAATTAGTAGAAATTCTACAGTCTACAAATAGTGATGACATTGAGTAGAATATGTAGGTAATTAAGCCATTGTTTTTATTTTGAAATGTTAATATGTTAAATAGCACACTAATATTACAAAAGGTTTGTATATATAATTCACTATTTTCTCATTTTTCCAGAAGTTCTGCTTGTAATTTAATGTCAGCCTAACCAAACTGACTATACTTATAAGACTTTTCAGTTATTAAATTGTTTGTGCTTTTTTTATAACTAATGTATTTTGTCAGAAAGGAACGTAAATTTCTCATCACACACAATAGGAAGTGCAGCTGTTTTTAATGCATTTGCAATTTCAAAACAAAAATATGAAGGATTTTTTCTAGCATTTTTCAATTGACAAATTTCCACCTGTGACAATGGTGTTTGCACATTTCTATTTTTCTTTGTATATGAAGTACTTTTATATGTACTTTGTAAAATACTGATCCTGTTCTGAGGTTATATTATATATACCACTGCTTATTTTGTAACTAGTTAATTTTAACTCTTGTATGTTATGAGATATATGTATGCTAACCATCTTGTAATAAATACACTTCTTAAGGAAAAGTAAAACCTTTCCTTTTACTGTAAAAGAGAAAAAAGCAAGACCTACATGTTGAAATATTTCCACGGGCACAAGACAAATCCTTATTTACTCTGTATTAAGAATAGTGGGTGTATTAAAAACTATGTGGTCTTTTGTATACTTGTAAAAATTCTTACATAAAAGTTGCACTTGAGCATCCTCAACTCAAACACTTGTCAACAGTAACACTAAAGACTAAAGAAATCAGAATTTAAAGCAAAGTTATCATTCTAACAGGTCTCAATGTCTAGCCTTTACTAAAAGGCTAAATACATATAATGTTCATACTAAGTCATTGAATAATGATGTTAAATGTATTTTAAAAAAAAAAAAAACCTATATGGTATCACAACATAAATCAACTGCATACTTTCACCCTGAAATGTATCTCACTCATTTATATCACCTTATGCAAAAATTACCTAGTTCATAAGAAGTAAAATATAAAAAATGACAAGGTCTTGAGAATGTGCATCTAAGTTGAATTACTGAGTGTAGTATGGGATAGCAGAGTTAAAATGGAAAGGGAATGTGTGATGGAGGTAGAGGACCTGTGACAATTCTTGGATGCTGTGGTGCTTAGATGATAAGGTTTGCATATTGAGCTTGGCATGGATGCTAATGTTGCCTTAAATGTTGATCTCAATTTTTAGTGTCTGTATTGATGGAAAATGGACTTGAGCAACTTAACTTAAAAATATCCAAATAAAAGCTGAAATGAGCTATATGATATTTGTGGTGTTTATATAAGGAATACACAAAAGAATGGTAGGCATAGGTTCTTGGTGTGAAGACACAAAGTTTGCAGTGTCTCCGAGTGTCTCTTCTATACAAAATGGAGATTCAAACAGAGACTTAGAGAAAGTGTCCAGAAGTTAGCATAGCATAAGCTACAGTGTTTGTCAGTGTGTTTGAGTTGTGGCAGCAGAAGCAGAGAATTAGGAACAGAGGATTTGCTTGGGAAGAATTCTGTGTACAAAGGGATCCACCTTCAGATTCTCTGAAAATTTTCCAGAAAAAGGAACCCATCGAGGAGTTGGGGATGAGGTAAACATGTGCTCCCTCTGGTGTGTCGTATTGCTGTTCCTATGCAGTGTATCATAATGTTCCTACTGTAGAAAAGAGAATTATCAGGGGCTTTACATAAGGGAAGAAGATGGCTTGCCCTTCTCAGTGTTGACTAACAATATGACCACATAATAGGTGACAGGATGAATGGAATTTAAGTTTTGAAGAGTTGTTGCTGGTATATTACATTAGTCATTTCTCTTTCCTATCTAACATACAAGTATTTTCTATAAAAGCCCTTACTTTTGATGGAACTTTAGAATTAGCATACTAAATAATAAAATCCTTAGCATGCCACTGGTTATGTAATAATACACAAACAGCTAACAGACCCAGGAACAAATGTTCAAAATTTTGTGTCCATCCCGCACACAATATTTGTATCTGATATTTTGTGAATTGCAGACATAACAAAAATGTGGTGATCTTGTCCAAAAACTGTCATTTTGCCTTTTCATCCTGTAATATTCTTGGAGTATGTCTAAGTGGCCACACCATATTTCTCATTTTTCATAGTTGTGATCATCCAGATATTTTGTGTGTTCATGATTATCCTGTGGTTGCTTTGAGGAGTCAGAAAACTGAAATGAATCTACCAGTTGACCAGTTATGCTAAAGTTCATGCTGAGTATCACTGTCTCACCGACTTTCTGGGGTTTTGTCTGTATTCAATAAGTTTCTTCCCAAATTTTGGCTACTGTGCAATCCACATTCTCATTTCAGAAATTTTCATCTTTGAGTTTTTTCACATACAACTTTTTCTTAATTGACTGTCAAATAAGGATGCTGCAAGTTCACTGTCGTTTCCTCTCTTTACTTACTAGTCCAGCTAGCCTCTCAAAGGAATGGATTACTAATGCAAATACTGCTGATAAGAGTTGGTTCTTTGTTTCTTTTTCAGAATACAAAATCTCCAAAGACTAATTTTACTTTTTTTAATTTTTCTCCTGTAGACCATTCTAGTCTAAGCTGATAGGACTTTTCACCCAAAGGAACTCTTCAATTCTTTCTCTTTTAATTCACTGTTCTTTTAAGATTGTAAAAGTAAATCTATTCAGTGTAATCAACTATGGCTACCGTCTTTATCTACAATCACACTCCAATAATTAAAACCCAGATACTAACTTCCCTTCTTACCACTGACAGTTACAGAAGTTTCTCCTTCATCACAAGACTGCCTGTCGAGAGCTGAAGGGACTGAACGCTGATGTCACTTCCAGTTTAGCAAGCAACTATGAAATAAACACAGCTTTTAATGAGTTGAGATTGTCATAATGCTCACCTGAGTCATTCCTGAGAAGACAAAGAGTCTTTCTTAAACTAAGATACTTTGTTTCATATATGGACTCCATACGTTACTCCTAGAAAGTTCTCAAAACCCAGTCTTGGAACAAAAGGTAAAAGCTGTGTTTTAAAGGCAGACTCTCCAGCATAATTTATTTGTTTATACCTTGATCTCTATGCAGGCCCTACAAACCAGGATATGTGCTAGTGGCAGCTGAATTATAATTCCAGATTGCTAGTCACATCTAGCCAAAATACTGTCTTATTTATCTTTTTCATGGTGGTCTAATCTGTTCTAATCTAATCTCCACTTCTCTAAAATACTGCTTCTTGTCAACATTTTGTCCAGTTTCAGGCTGCACCATATAGTTCAAGATTCTTCTTCTCTTCTGATTTTACTTACACATCAGAATTTACACATTTATGAATAAGAAATATTGCTTGATTGTCGCAAGTTTACTGTTGCTGTTTTCCATTGTGTACTCTTTGGTAAATATGTGTTGTTTATGTGTCTTCTAGGAGATTCATAGAGAGGCTATACTTTTATCTGTAAAATAAGCAATAATAGAAGATGGAAATAGTTAGGCTAAGAGAAGCACAATACTATCCTGTAAGAAGATACAACGGAAGCAGTTGTTTCAGGTATTGAATGGTACTCCTTCCTGCCCCTCATACTCTCCTAGAACAACCTGAGGCATAGTCTTGGTTTATTTTAAGATTTACGTATTGATGACTTATTTATCAATGTATATTGACAGAACATCAATGTATAGATTGTTGTTTAATGAATTTCTGTCACTGTTCAACTCAGTAAGAATTCTTACATTTCAAACCCACTCAGCCTGTCACCAAACAAGACCTCCAAAACTTGTAGTATCCCTTTGTGTTAAAAGTCTCCATTGTCCAAAATTTATAGGAGGTACAACATCCCTGTTTAATGATGGACAGATGAGACTGCTTTGAATTTAATACCCAGGAAGAGTGTTTCATGCAAATGCTTTCTCAATAAAGAGAAATTATCCGGTAACTCAAGCAACAAGCATCACACTGACAGCACCTGAGGGCTTTGCCAGGTTACACTGGCTGTGGACCATCTTAATTAGGAGTGCCAGTGAGTTAAAAATTCTGTTCACATCAAGACCTCCAGTAAGTTAAAAATGATAACTTCATAAAATGGTGTGTAATTATGAATTCAGCTCAATATAGTAAGCTATAGTACAGGTTAAATCACTCCCATGTTTAAATACTTAAATGTTCAGGTTTCGCATATGTTGCATTGGTTTTGTGGCATCACAATAGTTAAAACTTTGATTTTTATTTTTGCTGTGTTCAGATTATCACTGGCAAATAT